CAAAAAGCAAACAATTCTATCTACTTCTGCTTAAATAGGGCTGCAATTCATATATCTTTCTACTAGTTTACATACTTTTACCTAAACACAATTACATTTCACATACATTTCAAATGTATATATACTTAAACACAGTTATTTTGCTCACATGTTTCAATTGTTTATTTACTTTTACTGAAACGTAACTACAATTCACATATCTTTGAACTGTTTAGCTACTTATAATAATACTTAGCTAAACAACACTTAGTTTATGAAACCAATAATTTCAATCACTCATTTTTCAACACGGGTATTACTTTTTTGGTAAAACATTTTTATAGTGAAATCAAGATTTCTAAAAACAGTGAACGTTTTATTTCCTGCAAATATCCACTTAGTGAAGTGATAATTTCCTGCAAAGCTCAACTTAGTGCAGTGATAATTTCCTGCAAAGATCAACTTAGTGCAGTGATAATTTCTTACAACAATTAACTTAGTTAAGTGATAATTTCTTGCAAAGATTAACTTAGTTAAGTGATAATTTCCTGCAAAGCTCAACTTAGTTAAGTGATAATTTCCTGCAAAGATCAACTTAGTGCAGTGATCATTTCTTACAACAATTAACTTAGTTAAGTGATAATTTCTTACAACAATTAACTTAGTTAAGGGATAATTTCCTGCAAAGATCAACTTAGTGCAGTGATAATTTCCTGCAAAGATCAACTTAGTTAAGTGATAATTTCCTGCAAAGATCAACTTAGTTAAGTGATAATTTCCTGCAAAGATCAACTTAGTTAAGTGATAATTTCCTGCAAAGATCAACTTAGTGCAGTGATAATTTCCTGCAAAGATCAACTTAGTTAAGTGATAATTTCCTGCAAAGATCAACTTAGTTAAGTGATAATTTCCTGCAAAGATCAACTTAATTAAGCGATCTTTTCCTACTAACATTAGCTTAGTTAAGTAAATGTTTTCTAAAAACATTAACATAGCTGTGACCCTTTTCTACAAACACCAACTTTTTAAGTGATTATTTTCTACAAACATCAACTTATCTAAGTGACCTTTTTCTAAATACACCAACTCAGAAAAGTAACAATTACTTGAAAAAACTGAAGTAAATCACACTTTTCTGAAACGAGCAATTGAACTGAAACAACTCTTCTCCACAGATGTAAGATGTATTAGGTCGTCAAGAAATTAATGTCGCTTTTTTTTAAATGAAAAAAACCCGAACAGCTTATATATAAAAAGAAAACACTTATTAGATGAAATAGTCTCCATTCTTATCGATGATGCTTTTCCATATTACAATCAGATTGTTAATGCCCTGATTAAAGAAATAACTTGGCTTTGAAGCAAAGAACATGTCGATGTCCTCTTTAACACCTTCTACATTTGCATACGTTTTCCCATTAAGATGGTGTTGCAGCGAGCGAAAAAGATGGTAATCTTATGATGCCATATCTGGAGAATATGGCGGGTGGGGGAGAACTTATATGTTTATGTATTGTTTCATGAGAGACAACCAATTTCATGGCCATTTCACGAATGTGTTGCTTTGGGTTAGACTCAACAAGCGTCTTCAAAGCATCAATATTAATTCCAACATGTCGGCACCTGCCATCACAGTTTTGAAGGCTAAAGTCACCTGAACGAACTTTGCTGAACCATCGTT